GGGTTGCCCAGAGAGGGGGTGGAGGCCCCATCCCTGGGACCATTCCAGGCCAGGTTGGATGGGGCTGTGAGCAACCTGATGTGGTTCAAGGTGTCCTTGCTCCTGCGGGGGGGTTGGGCTGGGTGACCTCTGGGGGTCTCTTCCAACCCAAAACATTCTGTGATTCTATAAAATGAAAGTTAAAATAGATAGATCGGAACTCTGGAAGCCAGTGGGGAAAATCCAGACTGCAGTAGTAACCAGAGAAAGCTTTGGTTCACCCATCGCATTTACAAATAATTGGAGGGAAGAGTGGTGGAGGTGAAGACAACACCTGAAGAAAGGCTGAGAGCGTTGGGGTTGTTCAGCCTGGAGAAGAGAAGGCTCTGGGAAGACCTTATCGTGGGCTGTCAATAATTTAAGGGGGCTTATAAGAAAGATGGAGAAAGACTTTTTACCATGGTCTGCAGTGACAGGACAAGGGTTTTAAACTGAAAGAGAGCAGATTTAGATTGGATGTAAGAAATTTTTTTACGATGAGGATGGTGAGACACTGGAACGGGCTGCCCAGAGAAGCTGTGGATGTCCCATCCCTGGAAGCGTTCAAAGTCAGGTTGGACGGGGCTTTGAGCAACGTGATCTAGTGAAAGATGTCCCTGCCCGTGGTGGGGGGGTGGATGAGATGATCTTTAAAAAGGCCGCTTCCAGCCCAGACCATTCTGTGATTCTAAAACAATTTAAGCACTGAACTGAAGCTAAGCCTGGGACCAGTCCTACAGAGAGAGTTTTTTGTTTTAATTATTATTATTATTTTCTTAAATGGGTGATTTATACACCTTCCCCCTGAAAACTGGGGTTTAGAACAACAGCACTGATACAATCTTAAATTTAGCAACACAAATGGCATCACTGCTATAAGGGGCACTTGATGCATCTGCATTCTGGCGAGAGGAGAGGGTATCACCGGCAGAACAAGAGGTACTGCAGGACAGCTGGAAGAAGGGATTTGGCATGGACGTTCTCCACTGCTCTGATCCGCAGGCCAGCACCGAACAAGAGGATCTGTTCCTCCCACAGACAATTCCTTGCCATCAGTAGAGCAGTTTCCTTCCCCTTTAATTCATTTGACCAGGCCCCTCTATTCCCTCCAACAGCCTGTGACAACTACAACAGGGACAGGCAAGAACAACAAACATTTCTTCAGCTTCTGTGGAACCGAGCAAGGCTGCCACCCCTTCTCACAGGAACTACGCCGGGCAATAGCAGAACCCCAGGTCCTCGTGCAACAGTTTCCCAGCCAGCTGCATGTCGTTTGGGAAGTTCTCCGGGACTTGCTTCCTTACACATCCACCCTACTTTGATAAAGTGCTAGCTTACTCCAAAGCCTTGGCTTTTGCTTAACTAGAATAAGGCATGCAAAGTTGCAATGTTAAATGTTTAACTCAAGGGATAACATAACACCTGATATTAGCCAAATCGGTGCAGCTTTGGACATCTACAGCACACTACTCTAAACCTCGTTTGCTGGGTTTAGCTCATAGTCGTCCCACAAGCCAAAAAACCATACGCAGCGCCACGCGGTTTAAACCAACTACACCGCATTTCCAGTTAGATGTGATGCAGCGCAGTGCAGTCAGAACACCCTGGTGCTGCTCTCAGCCACAAGGAAAACTCAAAAACTGAAGTCCAGCATAATCAGCTCTAAAATATTCACCTAGCAGTGAGTCTGTAGGGAGCCTGGAGCCACCACTTAGAGAAAGAAATAGTGTTTGCCCCAATAAGGGATTAACTTTGACTATCAGCATAGCACCCAGTTCTGCACGCCACACAGCGGGCTCCTGAGAGAGGCCCTAGGTAACGTTGGAACCAGAAAACCAGAGCTGGTTTCATGCAAGAGCAGTGCCTGGGCAAATCAGATTGTGTCTGGGATCCCAAGAAGCACCACCACATAAGCAGCACGTGAAGGACAGACAAGAACAAGCATGTAAACCTTATGTCCAAATTAAAATTCAAGACAACGTCTAGAATGGGTCTGTACAGCCAGCCCCGATGTCCTGAGCACGGCATTAGCAGGGCTTTTGATAGATCAACTAACTGGTACAGCCAGGCAGGCTCCCCAGTGGGCAGCACACTCACGCTACGGGGAACCTGAGGCCGCGTGGGAGACGGGCGAAGACAGAGCAGGAAAGGGCACATCCTGGGACGGGTGAAGTAAGAGGGATCCGACACAGAACCCTGTGCAGGACACCTAAGTTGGAGTAAGTCAAAGGGACACAGCTGCAGCAGAAGCACCTACAGACCCGAAAGAGAAGAGAGGCAAATAAGGACTTTACCAACAAGTTCAGGTTCTCTGTGGCCTAACGAAGAGCTGGAATAGCCGTTCATTTAAGGAAAAAGTAATAATAAAAGAGCAGAAAACCATGCGGGTCTGCCAATCACCCTCAATGAGGCAGTCATAAACTGGCTAGAGCCTTGCCCACCATTTACGGAGCTACCACAGCCTTTGCACAGCACTCCCCCAGATCTGCGGTGCCTTTCGAAAGGCAAACACCCGTCCCAGAAGCGGCTTCGGAAAGGCAGAGCATCACCAAGGCCTTTATTAAACCAGAGGCCGGTGGAGCAGTGCAGCAGCCCAGGCCTGGGCTCAGCTTTCTTGCCCCGTTTCAAAACAAAAATAAAAGAGGCCAGAAAGGACAACGACTAGAAACCAGAAAAGCTTGCAATCGATGAAAGAGATAACCTAGACCAAATTCTAAAGGAAATAAGGGATTAAAAAAGCTTTACCCAGGGAGTGACGGAAGAGAGGCAACAATCCACCACCTATTTACACACCGTATCAGGAGCTCAGGAGGACGACGTCTGGCAGACCGCTTCAAACAGACCAGAGAAAGACTTGAAGTAACATCAACGCAGGGGTGAAACTCGCTGCCGCGACAGCGCAGGAGCCAGGGGCAACTTTGGCACTGAGGCCGACAGCCCAAACACCTACGAGCGGCCAAAAGAGCTCTGTGAGGATTTAACCACCACGGGGGCAGAGAACACGAAGGAACAGAGCAACCCTTCCAGGTACCCCTTCGCAGACCCTCCGAAGCCCCCTCCTGACCGCGCTCCCAACCCAGCCAGGAGCCAAGTAACTCGCCAGCGTTTTGGCTCCCGTTACACCCAAGCAGGGCCCCAGAAATGTTTCCAGAAAAGCGTTTCAAAGCAAAGATGTCGCCTGGGAGGATACCAGCCAACCTTACCGCGCTGCCCAGGCCACCGAGGAGCCGAGGCCTCCT